GGAGCTCCCACAGAGAAGGCCCTCCCCCTTGGGGTCGCCAGCCGGCACTGTCTGGCTGACGGCACCCTGAGGAGACCCACTCTGTGGGAGCGTACAGGTCGATGGGGGGTAATCTGCGGCAGGAGGCGGTCTCGAAGGTATCCAGGTCCGATGCCATGGAGCGCTTTAAAGATGATGGTCAACACCTTGAAGCGCACCCCTTTCTGCTGGTGATCCTCTAGTGATGCACCCCAGAATTTTGTTTGCCTTCACAGTTGCCACAGTGTTTACTTATTTTGCAGTCACCTGCTGTGAGCACACCTAAATCTTTTTTTGTGTGTGGTTTTGTGTTGTTCTGTCTTCCACTGTACCATTCAATACTGTATTGCATATGATGCTTTAGTTATTTATTGTTACTGATTGTTTTACAGTGGGTATGAATCACACTTCAACTTGTTAGGGTATGAAGTCACATGATTTTAGAAAAAAACCAGCAATAAATAAAGATAAAGGGTTGAAGAGGAAAGCGAGGTTGTAACTTAAAATATTAAATGTATGTATTCTGCACCAGATTTACTTGTCCGAGTACAGGGACACACATTGGAAAAAATTAGAGCAAACATAAAACATATTTTCAGCGTTTTAGTGAATCACAAGTGAATAAACCAGAGTAGAGTTCATTAACCAACTGTGGGCTAAAATATAGAATGTTCAGTGATGTATTTTACAAACAGAAGTGGGGATATTTATCCCTACAATAGGAAGTGACTGTTAGTGAAACTACTTGACATGATTAGTGCTTATGTGTATTATGTATAGCACCTAAAGAAAGGAGTGACCAAAGATTTTCTGTGGGGTGTGGTATGTAGGCATAGCATATGTTGATTGGAAAAATATTAGGTGATCACCAAAGACTTAATGTTTTCTGTATCCATGTGCTAGTATCTAATAGTTCTCCAGATATTACATTTTTAGCTAGAAACATTTTTTTTCTTCACTGGAAAATTAGGTTCTTGAAAACAGAGGACAGCCTAACCCCTTTTCTTTTGTTTCAACAGCTCAGCTGCCAGCAGTATTACACTATTGTCAATAATACAGTTCCAGCAGTGCTTCCAGGTGGTTGTGTAGAGAATCCCAAATACTACAGCTACATAGCAGTGTTGGCACTCATTGCAACAATAATGCTGGTGCAAGTCAGCCACATGGTCAAGCTCACTCTGATGTTGATGATCACAGGGGCAGTGGGAGTGGTCAACATTCTGGCCTGGCAACAGATCTTTGACAGATATGATCAGGAGCGATTCCAGGAGAACATGTAAGAAATTTCAAGGTCGAAAATGTCATGGGAGCGTGTTTAGGGTAATATTGGGCTTAGGTCATATCTGAAGTGAAAAGAGGCTAATAATAACTTGTTCACTATTTTGTTACTTTTGGTATGCATTGCTCTTTTAAATTATTTAATTAATTTTAATGTATGATACATCATCAATAAAGGTCAGACTTACATAGTAACATGAAGAGACTCCATAGACTGATTTATATCATAAATTTCATTGAAGGAGAAGGTTACAAGAAATGAAGATGCTAGTCTATTGGTTGAGGTGGTTAAGGTTACGAATCAGGAACTATGGAAGCTCACCGAGTGACTTTGGGTCATTTGCTCACTCTAAACCCAAACTTCTTCATAGGATTGTTGTCATGGAGGAAGTTGTGTATGTTCCACCTTGAGTTCCCGAAAGACAGGATAAAAATATAAAAGTAGATAGTACAAGAAAGTGCATTCCATTCAGTTTCATATATTTAGATGTGGGTTCCAGAATGAAGAATCTGTGGTTCCAAAGCCTGGAATTTTTAAATAAAGAATTTGGAAGAAAGAGGGAGAGTAAGGTAACAAGGTAGCAAGGTTTTGTTCTTTGAATTCAGGAAGACTAGCTTTGGATGCAGAGAATCCTAAAAACTTTTTTTTGTCTTCTGCTCCAATGCATTTTTTCTCTTTGAAACTATATGTAAAATACTCCTAAATTTCCATGAGTTTTCCTTGCTTGTTGAAGTTAGAACTGAAGTTGCATACTATATTCAGCTGAATTAACATGTCAGACACTCTTTCTCAGACTACAGTTAGTCCTTAACTTATAACCTGTTGCTTAGTGACCATTCAAAATTACGAAGGACCCCCTCCCAAAGGTAGTTAGGACCCATATTTGAAGTTCCAACACCTTCCCACCCTGTGTGATCACAATTTGGGCTCTTGGCAACTGGTCCATATTTGTGGCCTTTTGCAGTGTCCTGCAGTCACGTGACTATGGTTTACGAAACTTTTTTTGTAGGAAACTGGTGTTTATCTCCAGTTCCAGCAAAAAAAAAAAAAAAA